TATATATATATATATATATATATATATATATATATATATATATTTGGTATTAAATGGGACGATACGAGGGATTTAATGTACAATACACATTATTGCAAACGTGTAAACAACGTGTTACAAATATATTTGCGTTAAATTAAAGAAAAACGAAAACTAGATAGAGATCTTTTCTAGCTAAACTATTCCGACGAGTAATTTACTTTGGATACTGTTTCAAACAAATCTCTCACGCAGATGTAGTACCTGTGTTTACGTGTACTTTATCAAAATTCCAGAGGCATAGAACGGTAGACGGGCACGTGTATAGCTCAAAAGCAAAAATTATTCAATTTACCTCGGGGGAGGCTCGTGGGAAGGCGGCGGCGTCTAATAAACCCCGGTGATCCCCTAATGTCGTCGTCATTACCGTCCAGCTGGCGCGGGCTTAACGCGGATCCTACCCGTGGCGCGCAACTAGCAAACTAGCCGTGCCGGCGGAAGTGAGAGGACAATTTCTGACCTAGCCGCGTTAGTCCTAGCCTTTCCGCCACCACGAATCAATCCTTCTGTTCTGCATTCATTACCGGCTCGCGCTTAATGACCCTTTCTCTTCCCTTAATGACCGCCGGCCCGGCAACGTTGTACGAGACGTTGTAGCAAGAACACTCTGAAACGTGATTTATTATCGGAAAGATGAAAAAGAAAAAGAGAGAAAGAGAGAGAGAGAGAGAAAGAGAGAGAGAAAAGAACGAGAATAGAAAGAACGAGAAAGAGAGGCGAGTTAGATGACGGGGCGAAAAACACCGGGGGTGGAACGACAGAATTTTTCGAGACGTGACGACGCGAAGTTTCGAGGTGGAGGAGGAGGAAACGGGGGATTTGCAACCCCTCGAAAATCTGCCGACTAGCGCGACAACTGTTAGACGCTGGCAAAGGGTGGTGGGAGGTGGAGAAAACTCCCCACGGGGGTCTGTAAACGCGACATTAAAATCAGCTTACAAATCGCTTCGACGACGTCTACTGGTCCGCTCGCGGAGCGGATTGAAATCCGCGAGAGCACTGGACGAGTGTTGCTTCCGTCTCTCTCTCTCTCTCTCTCCCTCTCTCTCTTTCCCGATCGATTCGAGTCCTTCCGATTTCTTCCCCGAAACCTACGTCTCGTCGTCGAGAAGAGAAGCCGAAGATTCTTTTCCTGACGGAGCACGGATGGAAAGAGGGGAACACGCGGGATGGTTTTCTGCAACCGTAGCGTTTCTTCCTTGCGGATCGACTCTTGGAAAATTCCGAATCCCCTTCCCTACCCTCGGAACACTGCCTCTTTTGTGCATATAATGATCCCCCGGCTGCTTCGCTAGGCTTATTTCGACGACCTTCTTTGACGACGACCCTCCCGCGCGCCCTCGATTCTTTTCGATTGATCCTCGCGGCGCGGCCTCATTGTCCTCCGCTTTCAGCTGTTTGTACTCTCCTCGATTTTGTTGTGGAGCACCGGGCCTCGGGAAATCGGTATATTGAATCGGCCAGAAGAAGGTCTCAGAGGTCTCGTGCAATTGACGATCGAATTTAAAACGATGTGTTTGGTCATTGTTTTAACACATCGCGAACATACATCGCGACATCTCTTTTCAATTTTCTTTTCTTTCCCCTCGAAGTATTTTTCCCCTCGATTCCTTTATGAATCTATGTATCAAGGTCTCGAACTCAAATTATTCACTATTCTCCATCTGCACGTGGTCAAGCCCGAAAATCATTCATCAAGGCAGCTTGAAGTTCCGCGAGATTTCCCGGCGAATTCCTGCGAACCTGCGAATCATCCGGTGGTCTCCACTCGTCTCGATTACAATCTCTTTAACAGTGGGCGTTGCCTTCAGCAGACGCCGGGGAGCTATTCGCGTACAAGACGTCTAGCTGCACGGGGGTTAGGTTAGTGTTTCGCGGCCTTGTCTCGGCGAGAAGAGAAGAGAAGAGAAGAGAAGAGAAGAGAAGCGAAGCGAAGAGAAAGACGCCGGTGGTGGGTGCATTGAAAGGCGCAGAGCAAGGAGGCGGCCGGTTGCTGTAAGTAAGAACGTAGTACGCGGCGGAGCCAGGCGAATCGAGATAAGTAACACAGTACGGTAATCCTCGGTTACGTGATCCGACGCGCGTCTTCCATTCATCCGTTCGCCCATCCGCGCGGCTCTCCCTTTCATCGCAGCTTTTCCACGCGTAGTTTCTCCTCTGCTGCGAGCCGCGCTTGGGGTTACGTTGAATACCAAAGAGTAACCAGCCCTCGCTATTGACCGCTCGCGAACGAAGGGATACGCGCGCCTGGCCACGGATCCAGATACTTATCGA